CATAAGGAGGATGTTTGTTGGTTTTATAAATTTATTTCTCTGTGTTTTACTTTTAGTTTAAGTTGGTGGTTGGTGAATGGTGAAATATGTTTGGCTTTCTAAATGGAGTTTGACTGTTTGAGTGTCTATGAAAGAAAGTAAAGTTTTTGATATTAATCTTTTCACGAAATTGCTTTATTAATGGTGTGTATTATAAAATAGTTCTTTATGGAAACATACTCTTTACCTTCGGATGAAGGTGCGTAATTACTCTTTACTCGTGGTTATGACATTTGGGTATTGTAGTAATGTCGTTACCAAAATCTACACAAAATTCTCGAGTGCAAAGTTTTTCGCAAACTGAGTGTCAACCCATGTAGACCTGGTTCCTAAATATGGAGTACTTTTGATAAGATTTCAACGGCAGAGGGTGTAACTCCATTTTAGTTCCATTTTAGTTTGGGAGCCGCTAATAATACACCTTTTAGACACCTCTATTTAATAGTCAAACTATATTTTTTATATTAAATTCCGTGCATAAACAATTATAATTAATTTTATCATTATTAAAAGGTAACTTTTTATATTGAAACTTTCACCTATCATTTAATTCATATCAACATTTCTAATTATATATATATATATATATATATATATATATATATATATATATATATATATTTATTTATTTGTTTAAACTAATTATTGTGTTATTGTATGCATAAATGTGGATCAATCATTTTAAAAACCTGGATAGGGCTAAAATTGTAATCTTAGCTTTTAATTAATTTTGGTAATTAATTATTCAATTCATAAACCCTTTAATTTAGGCAAAATCTTTTACATTTAACCCTTTAAATCCCTAGACAGAAACGATGGAGCTTTTGTGATAGTTGGGAAATCGCGAGGAGGTGCAGAGGGAAGAAGCATCGGGACAACACTGATCCAGGGGGCGATCATGGCGGAAGAGGTCGATGTCTGCGATGGACATCACCGACGAGCAATGATGAAGTTCAAATTATCGGAGGAACCGCAGAAGGTCTTGGTCTTCAACGTCACAATCGCGCCTCCACCGGTGACACTAATCGGCCGTCATAGTCTCTGCCGCCGGCTGTTGCGTCGCCGGCTGTCTCTCCTCCATGTGACGATTCAGTTTTCCCCCTGAAAACGATCCAGGCTTGTTTAGGAAAAGATTCCTCTGCAGTTGAAAATATCTGATTATTGGGTCCGCTCATCGATCTGATTTTTCTGGAGATAAAGATGATAACGCGTGTTCAGCTAGTGACGAACATACGATGCCTTGATTTATGCTGTTGTTGAGCAGCAATTGGTGCGTTTTCTATTTCTTATAATTACTTAAATCATTAGTGGATTATTGTCTAAGATGTGGTTGAATTTTTGTTGAAGTTTGTGTGATTTTGGTCAGTAAAGATGAAATGAATAGGGGATATTTTGCTGCCTTCGTTATGAGATTTGATTGTAGCTCTTAGGATGCACACCAACTAGTCGATAAAATGCTTGAACCAACCTTTTCAATTTTTATTCAACACCGTTATTCAGGGTATGCTTAATTTTCCTTTGGGTATGAACTATGAACTATGAACTACGAAGCATGTGTTTTAAAATTAAAATCCAATTTTATCTTTCTTTGGTATAAAAATATATATTTTTTTGAACGAATGGGGGAAATGCCCTCTTTTTTTTGTTGGTTTGCTGGGTACATAAGGGCAAGAACAAGATTGTTCTTGTATTTCTTTACTGGAATCCATGTAGAATGAAAGGAAACATGGGATTCATTAAGAGGAAACGTAGAAGAGATGGGTGAGTGGAATCATGAATTCTAATTCTGTTGGCATTTGTTCACGAATTGTATGAAATCACGAATCCAATTCTGTTGGAATGGAATCATGAATTATAATTATGTTGGAATGGAATCACGAATCCATTTCTCTTTAAGGGGTTTTGCGTGACTTTATTTTGGTTTGCTTCTTTATGCTTGAATTTTATCTTAGATTGTTGGTTTATAATGATCAAGTGTTGAATACCATTATTTTTGTAGGTACGAAACGAGAGATATTAAAACAAAACATGGTACATATGAAACTTACAACATTCTACTGGAATGGAATCTTGAATTCTGATTCTGTGAGAATAGAATTTTGAAGATGAACATTGTATGGGATGAAGATGAACAATGACCACCAATCTTTCAAAAAGAATGGATTAGTCTGAATAATATACAATATAATGAAAAAATATATATGTAATAGTATATTCTGGTAGAATGATTCATATATTGTGTTTTTTGTGTTATTAATAAGTGTAACATTCGCATAGAATAATATATAATTTTTTTTTCTTTTCTAAGAATGTAATGATATTTTTTTTAACTTGTATCCAAAATTTTGTTATTCTTGAAGAAGTTCATTAAATCAAAATATATATTATGTCAGAATGTGTAATTATTGTATGGTTCAATCATATTTGTTATTTTTTCAATATATTGATAAACATATTCCGTCAGAATTTTCGAATTAAGAGAATTATCATTCATACAATCAGAATTTTAAAAATTAATAGAATCTATTTTCCTTAAAATATGTTATTTTCCTTTTTTAAATTTATGTTAATTGACTAAAATACCCTTAGAATGAAATTAGTTGGTATTTTTTAATTATATTTAATTTAATAATATGTATTATTCACTTTCCAAAATTAAGTAAAATGATTGCCCCACAATTATGCATACAATAATACAATACTTAGTTTGAATAGAATAACCTAGGCCTATATATATATATATATATATATATATATATATATATATATAGATATATATATAGATATATATATATATAATATATATATATATATATATAGGTTCAAATGTGTCTCACATCTATTGTGTGCTAAAATTCACCAATAAGAATTTAGTATTAATTATATGTATATTAAATGCTATCCATACTTATAATTCATTTTTATGGAAACTAATTAAATACGTCATTAATATCAACAATAATATTCTTTCAGAATGAATTCATATCTAGAAGAATGAGAGTATATTCCAACAGAATGAGAGTTTATTCTAGTAGATTACACTCTCGTTCTTCATATTCAATGCAACTTTATTGTATTTTAAGTGAGTGAGTCCTGAAACAAAATACGAATTCATATATAAAAACCTATATGCGAATTTATTCTGAAAAAACGTTACTGCTGACATTAATTACGGATTTAATTAATTTCCATAAAAAGAGAATTATAATTATGGATATCATTTAATATACATATAATTATGGAAATCAATTAATATCTATATTTATTTAATTAAATAATTATTTAATTTACTAAATTTCTATTGGTGCATTCTAACACACAATAAATATAAGAAGCAAAATAACGTAGCCCTATTATATATATATATATATATATATATATATATATATATATATATATACTAGAAAACTTTGAGGCCCGTGCTAAGCACGACCCGTGAAAGGTAATGTTGGTATTTCCTCGAAACCATAAGATTACGGTGACAAACCATCTCCAAACAAACGCATTGCAATTTCTTTTGTTGAACTTTTTTTATAAGGCTAAATGCAAAAATAGCAATGAAAAATTATCAAACATGGAATCAAGAGTTAAGATGGTAAAAGCAATAAACTGATGTTTAAGGCCAGATGCATTTTGTGAAACATTAACATATCCATAAAACATAGCGGAGAGAACTCCTGTGAAATTTGTATCGAGGGCTCATAATCATGTGTTAACACAAATTGAAAACAAAATTTAACATAAAATATGGAGTTATAAGAAACAACATACATAACGAGAGTACGTTGGAGTTGTATCAAACCAATGATGTATTTCACACATCTGATCTTTCTGTATAATAGGATGAAATCAAAGAATTTGTATGCTGTAACTCGTAATTTGCTTGGGTCACCACATTCCCAAATTCTTTCATCGTTTCTTTTAGATCAGTCACCCATCAATAGCCCAAGATATTAGTTTGTGCAAAAAAACAAGAATTCAGAATATTGCACATTTGCACTTCTATTGGATTAAGTCAAGATAAAGTTCAAAAATCTCATAATCTTGAAAAGCTTATTGAACAATACTTAATCAAAATAATTGAATGGTAGGGAAGAGGCATCCAAGTTAATATTGAGAATCATCAGTAGCAAAAAAATGAATTGGGAAGGAAAGAGAACACCAAATGTACGGTAAAACAAACAAAACGTAAATCATGTAATATGATCAAATTATTGGTCGGCTATTGGATATCTTAGACTTCCACCGAGGTTACCCAATCAATTCTTGAAAACCTGATTCATAAATATACCACACATCAAGGAAAAAGTTTGTGATCCATTTGAAGGTGGTAACAGTATTCATAAATTGTAGTTACAGATTAAATAGAAAATGAGTTATAGACTTACTGTGCATTTATGTCACTAAACGGATGAGATAAGCAAATGGAACTATATAAGAACAATGTATCTATTAAAGCAAAATGTATATGACAAAGAGTCATCGTAGGTAGACTTGGCTGATTTCATCTATATTGCATTACATAATAGTTAATATAGCGGGCAGATATGCCTACCATTTAATTACATTTTCTAGCAGTAGGCAGACCATTATGCTAATCATTACATACATGGTTTGGTGCGACAACAACCTCATGTGAATATAAATTAAAAAAGCGGGGTTCAAATCTTAATAGTGAGGTCGTTTTTTTGGGAAGGGGGAGGGGGTTTCAAATCATTCAAAATCAAAAAGCATACAAATAAAAAAGCAAGAAACTACAAATCAAAATCCACAAAACTCATCCATGATTGATCCAAAACGGACAAAATTTCAATGAGTACCTTCCACTTATTAACCTGGTTTTGTAGTATAGCTGACACCCTTAATACAAATAAGAAATAGGGTATGCACCACAAGAAAAAGAAAGCCAATAATTCATATTACTTGCATGTAAATGTTTATTATATTCATTAATAAAAGTTTTAAGCTAGAACTTCCGTAGAAAAGTTGGAAGGCACTTTCAGAAACTCCAACAACTTTATGAACCAAAACGAATGGAAAAATATTTTTAAAACCCGACCAATCATTTGTTCCTCTACAAAGACAAAAGATAACTACAAATCTTACATGAACAAATGAACTTTACTTTTATATTATTGTAACATAATTGAAACCTAAGATGATTCTTTCAAAAACAATAAGGGTAATGAGATTATTTTTTATAAACATTACGCATCAAAAAAGTTAGCATACCCTGCAATCTAAGAAAATATTGTGGCTGCTGTGGAATGTCTTCACCTTGATCCATCTTAAACCTAAATAATAAAAGAAACTAATGTACTGATTATAGACTTATAGAAATATTCTTTTAGTTCAAGCATTTAATCAAACAACTATTGTGCAAAAAAAATTATTATGTCTAAGAAGATGATAAATTTAATGAAGAAGACTCACCTGGTGGTCAAGCACTTGAATCCCAACTTCTAACAAAAAAAGAAAAATAATTAAATTTAAATTTAAATGAAATAACAAAGCACTCTTTATATCAATTGCCACTTTTAGGGTTTCAAAACTCAAGAAAGAAGCATAATTTGCCTAATAATGGATCGTAGAAAGCAAATCAAATAAATGATCGAAATCAAACTGAAATGAATTAATGAAGCAAACACATTTAATATCAAATTTTCAAGCATATGTAACCTCAGGAGTTTCTACATCCAACGAAATAGCAAATACCTGCAACCAAAGGGTATGGAAGATGAAGTTCCGTCTGAAGATTTGGTAGAGCAATTATAAAATCAAGGTGGGGATTAGGTAGTAATCAAAACAGAATAATCTTGAACGAAATCAAAGAGCGTTTCAAAATTCGATCCATCTACACTATCCACATGCTTGCCTGTGATCGCACTTCATCCCTTCTTATATGATAGGGTTAAGATTATATAAAGAAACAGAGCATCAAAGGGGAACAAGAAAACCGAAAAGGGAAATTAGAATTAAAGAGATTTTTGATTAAATAAAGATGCAAGTATGAGGGGTTTTGTTTTCATAAAAGCAATTTTTTTCTGAACAAATTGAAACTAAAGAAAGAATCCGTGAATGATTACAGAGGGTATTTGCATTTCCTAGAAAAATTACATCGGTAAAGAAATTGGATCCAAATGGCGTACTACCAACCTTCGCACATAACGTCGGATACGGATAGTCCAACATGAGGCGGTAGGGATCGGCATTGTGAATCGACATTGCTATACATTGCGTCGTTCATTTGTGATGTCCACGTGCCGTCCCTGAAACCCTACAAACGTTTAAAAGGAGCCACAACAAAAATAGGGCTTTTATATATAATAACTAGTTTACAATCCGTGTGAACCATGGTTATAAAATTAATTGGACTTTCATAATAGAAACTCATAATTATTAATTAATTTAAATAAATTATTATCTAAAAAATATTTTATGTAGTTATATAAAATTATAATCGTTGATTAAAATAAAATTGTGAAATTAATTTTCAACATGTATTAGACAGTTTTTATTTGTGAATAAAAGAAAAAAAATAAAGATATAATACAATAAAATGTTAAATTTATTATTAAAATGAAACAACCACAATCAGTGAAGTATATCAAAATTGTTATATAAATCAGATAATTAAGTAGTTCAAATAAACATATATTAGAAAAAATAACAAATACAAATTAAAATTAACAATTAAGTTATTCAAATTAATATATATATATATATATATATATATATATATATATAATGAATAAGTGATTAATCATTACAATATAAAACATAATGAAAAAATATAATGTAATGTTGATATGGAAGATATTCGATTCATATTCAAATCATATTAAAATTAATATTTCATTATATAACGTTTTTAATAATCAATAATATCATCAATTATAAGATAAGGTTATTTCTTTATTTAAAGTTTTCAAAACCATTTGATTGTATTATATTTACATTTTCTGATTTTCGGATATGGACTAAATTGTTTACTCGATTATTTTGTTTAGATTTGGTCGATGATGTTTGTTAATTTGGTATACCTTACATTTTTTTTAAAATTGAAGTATCTACACACCCGGATATTTATTATACGTAATGGGCTATTTACGTTGTAAAATCTATAAATATATCACTTTGTAAGTTGTTTAATTTTAAATTTACATTTTAATTGTTTTGTAAAATCTGTAAATATATCACCTTTTAATTTGTTTAATTTTAAATTTACATGTTAATTGTAATGTTTAAAAAAAAGTATTTCTTATGTAAAATCCATAAATATATCACCTTGTAATTTGTTTAATTTTAAATTTAAATTATAATTGCAATGTTTTAATTGAAGTAATTAAATTAAACTTAAATATGTATTTATAGCCGTGACATACTAAGGCCCAAAAAAGGAAAGGAAGTAATTCTATTTTTTTATTTTTTTTGGAAACTTATTTAATGTGAGAAAATCCAATTCTAAAAGAGGAACCACTAAAGTGACACGTGGCATATAAAATTAATGAGGCGGTGTAATACTTTGACACATGCCAGAAGGATATGAAACCTATTCTTTTATTAGAATAGGGAGATGATATATATTATTTTAATAAGTTTAATAGTTAAATATTATATTTTTCTGAAAATAAATAAATGTTATAACAATTATGAAAAGTAGAAAATATAGTCTGTAAAGATCAAAATTGTATAGTATATTTTAATACAATCTTTGTAATTGCTCTAGTTTTCAGTTTCGTTATGAATATATACATATACTATCCTAATTTGGTTTATGACCGTTTTAAAAATAATGTCTTACGTAAACTTTTTTTTCAAAGCACATAAATTAATGTAGGTACAAAGATAAAATAATATATATATATATATATATATATATATATATATATATATATATATATATAGTTAGGTTCCGTTTGATAGTTTCTGTCTGGGAAAATGTTGTCTGGAAAAGTTTTCTGACTGAGAAAGAAACAATGCTGTTTGATTGTACATCTGATTGACTGTGCTGAATGATGAAAAAAAGTAATAAAAAATAAAAAATAAATTTAAAAAAAGTTATTTAAAAAAATTAATAATCCAATAAAGAAAAAAAGAGGCGGGGTTTGGTGTATAATTGTCTTTCCAGCCCATTCAGCCAGAAATATATGATTTTGGGCTTTCCCAGAAAGACATATCTTACCGGGAAAGACCCCTTCTTTTGTGCAAATCAAACAGTCTTTCCGGTCCATTCAGCCAGAAAGATCTGTTTGAACCTGGAAAGATGCGTATCAAACGTGGCCTTAGGTTTCAATCGTTATTATCCAATTTATATATACCTTGAACGACGCTTTCTAGAAGTTGTATCCATGCTAGACTAAAGCAACATTTTTATTATCCTATGGCAACCTTGCTTGAATGAATGTTGCATGTTGCAGGAAATTATTGTTTTAGAAACCTCACTGAAATTAAATCTCACAACACACAATACAAATTGTTAATAAATACATATTTTGTTGCAACTTAACGCAGCAGCGTACTTTAATTATTATTTGCTCATATTTTTAGAGTTTAGTCCTATATAACTCAAAAAGTATCATGTATATAAAATTTACAACCTAAACACTAATATAATTAATTAATGATCTTATTATACCTAATAAAATATCTATATAACAAATAATGTTATCTATAATTAACAAATAGATAAAAGTGATTTATAAAATAAACAAATAAAGTTGTTTAAATTCATTGACAAACAGAAAAATACATAATTTAAAACTTTTTACAATGTTGTCCTGACATGGAGCAACACTTGGGGCTTTTTTGGTCGCGTCTATTTTGAGTTGGAATCCTAACTATTTTGTCTCGTAGTGGGCATGGAGCGCCTAGGAGGTCACACGACACGCCTTTTGACTAGAGGGTTGATATTTTGACTAAGTTTGATTTTGGTTCAAACTTAAGGTTTTAGGTCATAAGGTTTAACATTTCATATATGCTTAAGATTTAACGATAAAATTTATTATTTTTTTTAGAATTCCTATAGACTTACCTAACCTATTATTGTCTTGATTGGTTTATCATCAGTCAAGTTTTTTATATGAACATAACAATTAGTTTTCTTTAACCTACTTTTAGGTAGATTGTAATAAACTGTTCAACACATAATTTGAATATCTTACAACACATAATTTGAATATCTTACAATACTTGTAAAATAAATTTGTGTGGGAAATGGATTATATGGATGATGATGAGTTCAAAATGATGCTAACGTCATTGTTTTGTGACAAATAATTGGTTATATAGGATTTTGATACCTAGTTTTTATGAAGTTTAATGATTTTTATTCCTATTTATAACTTGAACCAAGAAATTTCCATATTTTTAGTGAAATAGTAAAAGAGTTGAAGTAAACAAAAAATAGAATTTTTTTTATAAACTTGGCCAAAATATTAGGAATTTTCTGGGTAACATGGTAAAAAATAGTTACCGATAAAAAAAATGGTTGATTTGAATTTTTTATCCGGTAATCGGGACTTCTTGTTAACAAAATAAAATTTGTGAATTTTTCATAAACTTGACTAGTTGACTAAAATATTGAAATTTTATGGAGATTTCCCTTAAAAAAATAATGAACCCATTAGATCCATTAGACGACGTGGTATGGGCCAAAACACGTCGTTATTGCCGACGTGTCACAACCAAAACGGCGTTATAACAGGGGGAACCCCCCCCCCTAATTCTCGTTATTAGTGAATCTCGTTGTCGTTACCACCGGATGAAACACAAAAAATTTGAACGCTAGCCCTTTTGACCGTTGACAACGGTCACTTGATTAAATTAAAAAAAAAAAAAATTTTCTAATTATAAATACATTTCATTCTCACATTTTATACAAATTTTCTTTCTTTCTTCCTATATTTTATAAAATCTTCTTCTACTTCAACAATCCAAACACCCCTCCACCAAACCAAAATCCAAACACACAACATCTCGATTCGGGTTTGATGGTTACGAGAACTATTTTAGCATTCTATCGTCTCAAGCTTCACCACAAATCTCATACCAAGAAGTCTCTTTCAATCCCGCATCACCACCACTCCATTTTCCTAACTCACCTTGTCTTAAATAAAATCTTTTCGGCCTAAATTCAAGTTTACAACAAAAACTTTTTCCCATGCAACCTCAAACACAACCACCACCTCCAACACAACCATCGGTTGAAAAGCAAGCAGGAGGTAGTAAGAAAGGGAGAGGGAAAGTTATAGCGCTTGACACATAAAATGAGGAAGCTCTACACGGATGAAGAAAAGGCTTTGGCGCAAGCGTGGTGTGGTACTTCAAAAGACGAATGTCACGAAAATGGGATGAAGAAAGGTGCTTATTGGGAGGCGGTGTTCAAAAAATTAAACACTATATTGAAGAAAAAATCGTATCGCAATACGGACATGCTTAGTAGTAAATGGACTCAAATTAGCAAGCCGTGCACAAAATTCAATGATATTTACAATCGGCTTGAGGTGCAACAACAAAGCGGAACCAACGACTTTGATTTGTTCAAAGCTGCAAAAGAACAATATCGGGTCGAGATGGGACATGTGTTCGAGTTTGAGAAAGTGTGGGAGTTGGTGCGATTTGATCCAAAATGGCTTAAAACCCTTACATCGGTGGAGTTTCAATACAAAATTTCTCGAAATTCGAGCTCGGTCGACGTGTCAGACGCACAGACCCACATCGACCTAAACGCCGACACCGATGAGATCCTGGATGATATCGAGGAGATCTCCCCACCACGACGACCGCCCGAACGAGACAAAGCGAGACACGCTACAATGCGTGCGGAGGAGGTTGATGCGAAAGCAAAAGATGTGGCGGAAATGAGAGCAAAATTCGATGAGCACAATTTATTACAAAAAGAAAAAAAATGAGTTGAAACGTCGCCGCCACTTGGAGTTCCTAGAAAGGCAATCACGGGAGAAGGAAGAGCAAAAAGAAAGAGAACTAATGATACATCAGTTGTCAATTCTTCGGACTAGCGATGAGGGTTTGGCGCCTCAAGATCTAGCGGTGCTAAAAGCGATGAATGATCAAATTAGGAAGAAGTATTTTGGCTAATTAGGATTATTAGTAAAATGTTATGGTTTTAGGTTTAATTTAAATGTTATTTGGGTTAATTAGGACTAGGAAAAAATTGTTATCTTTAAAAATTAATGTTTTTTTTATTGTA